GGCTTAATGCACATCGATGTTCTGTCTGTCACCTGGGTTAGAGCAGGGAGGGGCCTCTTCATTGCTGTGTCCAGGGTCACCCCCTCCTTTTGAGCACCCCACCTCCCCACTCCCAACCTGGAGTCTGAGCAGCAGAGAACCTTTAAAAATGGTAATAAGAAGTTCTGATCCCTGAACGCAGCATTCTGCCATCCTTATGGGTGGTGACGCATGGCCCAGGGCTGGGAATTAGAATCGCTCTTCTGGGGGCAGTTTGTTGCTCTGCAGCAGAGGCTCTGAAATGTTCATCCCCGTTGACTCAGAAACTGTGTGTCTGGGAGTCAGCCCCCATGAATAAAAATGCACGTGCAAGGATGTTTGTACACCCAAATGGTTGTGCAAAAATGTTGACCAGTGCGTTAGTTTTCAGAGGAAAAAATGGAAATTCTTTAATCTTCACCTCTAGGGGAATGGTTAAATTATGGCTTGTACTTATGACAATATTACACAATTGTAAAAATGGGAATTTAATGGGCTTTTTAATACAGAGATATAATATAAAACCACATATTTAAATGTATTCTCTCTCACACACATAAAAATTGGAAAGAAAAAATATCAAAATGTTAACAGTGATTATGTGATGAGTTTATGATTTTCATTTTTTTCTTTATCCTCTTTTATATTTTCTTAGCATTCTATACAGAACGTATATATAAACATGAGGGTATTTCAAAAAGTTCGTGGAAAAATAGAATTGAAAGATAATATAAATCTTTCCATAAACTTTTTGAAGTCTCTTCATATATACTAAGAATACATTACGTTTTAAAATTGGAAGAAGAATAAAGGCATTTTGCAACTCATGGCATCGTGGAAGGACCCGGCATGCAGGGGGAGGGAGAGGTGGGCCTGTAAGTCCCCATGAGTGACCAGCTGGCTAGGGGACAAGTGCCTTAATGCTTTCATGTGTAGCGTGGACATGAGAGCTTCTGCCTCAAAAGGTGGCCGTGAATACTGATTCTTATAGATTAAAATATGCACTCTCAATTATAAGAAAACCAAAGCAAAGCCCGGTTTTGCAACCTCCTGTAGAAGTTGTAGTTTCATGAGGGGCTGCTTGACCGGGCTGGCTTCCTCGTGGAGGGAACTTCTCCCCGAGCCCCAGGCCCTGGCTCAGGCTCTCTCTCTTCCTTCACAGCTGCCCATGATGGGAGGAGCGTTCATGGACTCACCCAACGAGGACTTCAGCACCGAGTATTCCCTGTTTAACTCGTCTGCCAACGTCCATGCGGCCTCCAACGGCCAGGGCCAGCTAGATGAGCCGCCTCGGTCCTCCAACGACGCCGTCTTGCTGTGGATTGCCATCATAGCGACGCTGGGGAACATCGTGGTGGTTGGAGTGGTGTACGCCTTCACCTTCTGAGGGAACGGGACAGCGACAGCTTCAGGTCGCTTGCTCTCAATGAGCTCACCGTGGGGCAAGGCTTTGCATGGGGCGCAGTCTTGCTGTTCGTCTTTGGCCACTCTCTTGTTCTAGAACCAGGAGTTCTGACCAC